GATTAACTTTGATTAATAGCTTATTTTATTAAATCAAAGAAACGGCTAATGCACTTTTATTTAGTCGGCAGCAACGTAAAGAAAACAACGACAGGGTGCCGGATGAGAGAAGTGTGGCAGAAGTTAGCAGACAGAGAGCGATTATTTTTTATGAAAAGCTGTTCAAAAGATTCTTTTGATCGGTGGACCCTTATAGACTAAAGGGATGTCAATAGGCTAATCAAGGAACGGACACATTCGTACTTCAAAGATAACGTGAGTTGGCACCTTTTTTTTCTTTTCATCTCTTGTACCATGCCAGTTACACTGGTAAAGAAAGAACAAAGAACTTCTATAAAAACCAGACCAGGCGTTTAATGTCGAACTGTGTTTATTTGTCAAAATGTTTTTCCACACCAGGCCAGTAAATGGTGTAGGCGGCTATTTGGGACTTGGCTATTAATTGATGTAATTTTCAATGTTTAACATTGTCCGAATTTTAACGATCTCCTCTTAGGGAATTTGTCCGATCGACTTAAAATTTTTGTTGAGCATCTAAAGGCATTGATGATGAAAAGTTGTGCTATCTGTGAGTTTTCGTCAAAGGGTGTGTCCATGGCATGGCGTCGAAAATTGATGATTCGCCATGAAACAGGAAGTTGTTATAACTGTGTTTATCCATGTACATGCTCACATTTGTACCAAAATTTACATTCTTGATAACAGTCCCACCTTGAACACATCCGTATGCCAACATTCACTCATAGTCATAGCGTCACCTACTAGCAACAGGAAGTTCAATTCAATTGAATTCAATTTTATTTATATAGCGCCAAATCACAAAAACTGTTATCTCTGAGCGCTTTTCATAAAAGAGCAGGTCTAGACCGTACTCTGTGATGATATTTAAAGAAACCCAACAGTTCCCACCAAGAGCAGCACTAGGCAACAGAGGCATGGAAAAACTTCCTTTTAAGAGGCAGAAACCTCAAGCAGAACCATGGCTCAGGGTGGGCGGCCATCTTCCTCGACCAGTTGGGGGTGAAGGAGAGGGAGAGAGAGAGCGAGACATAAAGAGGGAGAGAGGGATGGAGGGGTATGAGGGAGCAACCTACACAACATACGCACAGAAGTACAGACCGTAAAGAAGTAGAAGTGACTACTTCTATGCTTCTATGCTGTGATGAACTACTTCTTGCAGGTTGACCATATCTACTTCAAAACTATCTTAGAATACCCTGTAATGGGAATTTCATGAGAACCATCTCCAAACACTGCCCTGTAACTAATCTCACTTGGGGCCTCCGGTCTCTTGGGTATGGGGTCAATGGAAGGTACAGTGGGTACGGAAAGTATTCAGACCTCTTAAAATTTTTCACTCTTTGTTTCATTGCAGCCATTTTCCAAAAATCAAAAAAGTTCATTTTATTTCTCAGTAATGTACACTCAGCACCCCATCTTGACAGAAAAAAACAGAAATGTAGAAATTTTTGCAAATTTATTAAAAAAGAAAAACTGAAATATCACATGGTCATAAGTATTCAGACCCTTTGCCGTGACACTCATATTTAACTCAGGTGCTGTCTATTTCTTCTGATCATCCTTGAGATGGTTCTACACCTTCATTTGAGTCCAGCTGTGTTTGATTATACTGATTGGACTTGATTAGGAAAGCCACACACCTGTCTATATAAGACCTTACAGCTCACAGTGCATTTCAGAGCAAATGAGAATCATGAGGTCAAAGGAACTGCCTGAAGAGCTCAGAGACAGAATTGTGGCAAGGCACAGATCTGGCCAAGGTTACAAAAAAATTTCTGCTGCACTTAAGGTTCCTAAGAGCACAGTGGCCTCCATAATCCTCAAATGGAAGACGTTTGGGACGACCAGAACCCTTCCTAGAGCTGGCCGTCCGGCCAAACTGAGCTATCGGGTGAGAAGAGCCTTGGTGAGAGAGGTAAAGAAGAACCCAAAGGTCACTGTGGCTGAGCTCCAGTGATGCAGTCGGGAGATGGGAGAAAGTTGTAGTAAGTCAACCATCACTGCAGCAATCCACCAGTCGGGGCTTTATGGCAGAGTGGCCCGACGGAAGCCTCTCCTCAGTGCAAGACACATGAAAGCCTGCATGGAGTTTGCTAAAAAACACCTGAAGGACTCCAAGATGGTGATAAATAAGATCCTCTGGTCTGAAGAGACCAAGATAGAACTTTTTGGCCTTAATTCTAAGCGGTATGTGTGGAGAAAACCAGGCACTGCTCATCACCTGTCCAATACAGTCTCAACAGTGAAGCATGGTGGTGGCAGCATCATGCTGTGGGGGTTTTTTTCAGCTGCAGGGACAGGACGACTGGTTGCAATCAAGGGAAAGATGAATGCGGCCAAGTACAGGGATATCCTGGACGAAAACCTTTTCCAGAGTGCTCTGGACCTCAGACTGGGCCGAAGGTTTACCTTCCAACAAGACAATGACCCTAAGCACACCGCTAAAATAACGAAGGAGTGGCTTCACAACAACTCCGTGGCTGTTCTTGAATGGCCCAGCCAGAGCCCTGACTTAAACCCAATTGAGCATTTCTGGAGAGACCTGAAAATGGCTGTCCACCAACGTTAACCATCCAACCTGACAGAACTGGAGAGGATCTGCAAGGAGGAATGGCAGAGGATACCCAAATCCAGATGTGAAAAACTTGTTGCATCTTTCCCAAAACGACTCATGGCTGTATTAGATCAAAAGGGTGCTTCTACTAAATACTGAGCAAGGGGTCTGAATACTTATGACCATGTGATATTTCAGTTTTTCTTTTTTAATAAATTTGCAAAAATTTCTACATTTCTGTTTTTTTCTGTCAAGATGGGGTGCTGAGTGTACATTACTGAGAAATAAAATGAACTTTTTTGATTTTTGGAAAATGCAATGAAACAAAGAGTGAAAAATTTAAAGGGGTCTGAATACTTTCCGTACCCACTGTAAATGTGTGTGATGCTTTACCATATGTCCAGAGGGGTCATGACTTTAAGTGGTTCACCACATGTACCTTGGACATGGGTGTCTTTCTATAGATCCAAATTGAGTGTCCCCTTGGGAACACTGAAAGACACCATGTTCTTTTGATGAGATAGTACTCCGACCCTGAGACTAAGATAAAAGCTGCATGTGCTGAGACACTGCAGCTCACTCGGATGATACTCTCTGATGCGTATGTGTCCCTGTGAGTTCCTTCTGCAGAAGACTTGAATAAAATTCACGAAAAGACAAGTGTTTGCCTGAGCTGTTTATTTGAAAATTCAAATTACCATTACAACCCTTAACCCATTAAGGATGTTTTTTGTAAATCTTGCCAATTTTTCTTTTAACGACGTATCCGTGGTCTTCGTAACTTTACTTGATAACTGTCCTGCCCGAAAACATTTACATACTAAGACTCAGTTAAAGTTGTAGCACCACTTACTGACAACAGCAAGTAAGCTCTGTGTGACACTCAACACGCCATAAAAATAAAATGGTCATGATGCGTTCCACATTTGAAGTACCAGGACATAATGTATAGTTACTGGGTGCTCTATAGTGCCACATAGGGGACACAGGAAGTGAAGTCCAAGCATCCAAAGCGTGTGTGAAATTCAGAGTTTTGAGTCGCGTGTCTGGACTGGGTAAGCTGCAAATGAATTGCCCTTCTTGGGATCAATAAGAGTCTGAATGAAAGCACATCAGTGACATAAAGCTCATGGACTGTCATCCATGATCATCAAATCATCTGGAAGGAAAGAAACCACAGAGCAGTTTAGACTTCCTATTGCAAGCTGCTGATGGTGTCGCAGGGCCAGCAGCATCAGTGAAGACACAATCTTTGAAGACCCTGCCGAGCTGAGTGGGACCAAGTCATCGTTTTACAAGTCCGAGTCAAGTCTCAAGTCTTAGTACTCAAGTCCCAAGTCGAGTCCCAAGTCCAGACCGATCATGAGTGGCAAGTCCGAGTCAAGTCTCAAGTCAAGTGTAAGTCTTAAACTTTGACTTTGAGTCCTAAACAAGTCATAATGCGCTCTTCACCAAATTTAAAAACCATTTCAAAAGTTTTTTCAAGTAAAAAATAAAACAATGTATTGAATGACACCTCTTAGGGAGGGCCTCAGCTGTGAAGGAAAGGATGGATTTATAAAACAAAATGAGCACCCGGCGCTATTATCGCTTCATCTTAATTAACTGTTTTTTAAAATTGGTGGAAGGAGCTTCACGCAACAGCTGCAGCAGCATTCTCTCTACACTGTTTCAACCTGACCTTTCTTTTGTCCGTGAGGTGGAGGAATTTGGAAAGTTCTGTAGTGCTGCGTCAGGCACGGGCACGCTTAGGACGGTCATTGATTGTTCCCTCTTGCTGGAGGAAGCCACATGCTCCAGTCTAATTGAGCACAGCGCTATGTTGATGCGCTGCGCAGTTTTTTATATCATAATTTATATTTGGGCATGGGGAGTGTCAAGTCATCTCAGGTCAAAAGGCTCAAGTCCCAGTGAAGTCATGAGTCATTGCTGTTCAAGTCAAAGTCGAGTCGCAGGTCTTCTTTGATTTTTTCAAGTCGAGTCATCATTTTTGTAACTCGAGTCCAAGTCATGTGACTAGAGTCTAGACCTCTGCTGCTGAGTGTGTTTGTGTGAAATAGATTATATTGTTTTTAATTACATACTGTAGCTGTAGCTGTTGAGAACAACCATTTGTGTGACCACTGCAACAACACCTCTGTTTTTTATGTTTCCAATAACAATACCAGTAAAAACACCAGCTTCTTTATCAGCCCAACATAAACATGAAACACATTAATCACAAAAAACTGACTGTTAATTTCAAAGAATTCTGCCATGTCAGTGATTATTGGTCAAAGTATGCTATAAAAGACAACCCTTATCGAAATGTGTCTACATTACACCCTCATCATTTACTGATTTCAATGATGTGCTGCAGGTGTCAAGTCTCAACAGTTCAGTGTGCATTTTTCATTTTGCAGTGCCTTATTGCAGCTCTTCTCACCTTGCCTTTCTTGCTCATCTTGCTGCGGAGGTAGCTGAATGTCCGACTGAATTTAGGTCCTCCTTTTACCTCAGTGTCGCTCCGCAGAGGGCCCGGCTCCTCCTCTGAAATACTGACAAAACACACAATGCCACTGTGAAGCTATAATAAACATTAAGAGAAGTGAAAGTTCTGCTTGTTTTAATCTAACGCAGTACTTTTTGTTAGTGCGTAACATCAACATACAGCAATCTCATTACTGGACTGGTGGAAACTGCATTAAAAACTAACACTAACTAACAAAATTGTCCCATGCACACATCCTTCAACAATATCTGTTTTGGAAAGTTATTGTCTTCAGCTGTAAGAACAGGGTTCTATCAAAAGACTGCAAAACCATAACAATGTCTACCAACACAGAAAATTATAAATTGTACCTGTATTCCAGTGACCCGGAGTTACTGGAGAATAAGTTCCCCCCTAGAGGAAGCAAAGAGGACAGATAACACCATTTATATGACACCTGTAAGTGTTCAAAGCCCAGTTTACACATGGTAAAATGGTAGTTTAAGATTTAAAAAGGTGTTAATACCGAAGTAAAGAGGTTAACACAAAGTAGACCAGGGGACACAAAGACAGAAAGAAATGTGGACTAAAAAATACTGCCACTAAGTACGAAGTAGTAGTAACAGTAAGACCACATCAATATAGCAATTGCTAACCCTGTCAAGAGAGAAACAGATGATTGTTGCTTAAGGAGCTTTGTAGTATTGGGTAATTGTGCTGATGTTGTCTTTGTGATTTTGAAGTTGAATAAGACAGCTTCAAAGTTGTCATAATGTGTTTTTTCAGTTTCCAGTGTGCGTGCTAAGCTACTGTAGGCTTTATGTGGCTGTGTACTGAACACATAAAACGATAAAATGGATCCTTATATTGCGTTAACTCACCATCTATATCACGCTGACTGATAGTAACCATGGAGATGGATTTGGTGAGGGTTTGGTGATGGAACATAGCAGGACAGCTGGCTGTCACTGACAGGACCTGATGAACACACATAGGCAACAAGGTTATTGATATATGAAGTTGGTGTCCATCCAACCTGTGTGGTCCTGTTCAGGAGCACATAGGATGAAAATACAGTCCCCTCCAAAAGTATTGGAAATGTAAGGCAAATTCCTTTGTTTTTGTTCACTGAAGACATTCCAGATCAAAAGATGAGTATAATACAACAGTTCAGAATTTCAGCTCTCATTTCCTGGTATTCACATCTAGATATGTTAAACAACTCAGGACATATCACCGTTTGTTCGAACCCACCAATTTTTTCAAGTGAGCAAAACTATTGGAACATGTGACAGACAGATGTTTCTTGTTGCCCAGGTGTTGCCTTTTAGGTTGATTGTCCAAACATTAAATGGCTCTGCATGACTAATAGAGGTTTTCATCCTTGGTTCAAACCTATAAAGACTGCATTTCCTGTTCACTAGCAAGGACCACAATCAACAGGTATGATCAAATGATTTATTGAGTAACAAACAGAAGATGTATGAAGCTTGCAGTAGCTGAATAGACATTAGAAAGCGTTGTGGGGAAGCTATGATAGGGAAATCCGCCGTAGCACCCGGGCACGACGGACCCCCTATAAACCTATGGAGAGGAGGAAGGAGATCAGGAGGCAGGACAGAGAAAGGGGTGGGAGGGAGGGATGCAGGATACGAGGGCGAAGGGGAGGATTTAGGACGTGTGGGTATTTATGGAAATGCTGGCGATGACGCGCTTGATGTGTGGTCCCGCTCCTGAAACTCTGCTAATTAGCACCACTTAGGGAGGATAAACCAACATGAAGACCAGAGAGCTGTCTATGGGAGAAAAGCAAGCCACTGTCAAGCTGAGAAAAGAAGGAAAATCGACCAGAGCCATTGGACAAACATTGGGCATAGCAAGCACAACTATTTGGAATGTCCTGAAAAAGAAAGAAACTACTGGTGTACTGAGCAACAGATCGGCCAAGGAAAACAACAGTAGTTGATGACAGAAATATCGTGAGAGCTGTGAAGTAAAAACCCACAAAACACCAGTGACATCAGCAACGACCTCCACAGTGCAGGGGTGAAGGTATCACAATCCACTGCTGGAAGAAGACTCAGAGAGCAGAAATATAGAGGCCACACCACAAGATGCAAACCACTCATCAGCAGGAAGAATGGAGAACAGAGATGAGCCGCAAAAGTTCTGGAACAAATCTTATGGACGGACGACACCAAGATTAATCTCTGGCAAAGTGATGGAAAGGCCAAAGTGTGGCGAAAGAAAGGAACTGCTTCTGATCCAAAGCATACAAGCTCATCTGTGAAGCATGGTGGAGGTAATGTCATGGCTTGGGCGTGCATGGCTGTTTCTGGAACAGGCTTATTAATATTTATTGATGATGCAACTGATGATGGTAGCAGCAGAATTAATTCAGAAGTGGACAGAAACATTTTGTCCACCAATTTACAGTGAAATGCATTGAAACTAATGGGGAGGAAGTTTATCATGCAGCATGACAATGAGCCAAAGCACACTGCCAACAAAACAAAGGACTTCATCAGGGGAAAAAGTGTAAGGTTTTATACTGGCCAAGTCAATCAGCTGACCTTAACCCAATAGAGCTGCATTTCACCTCCTTAAGAGGAGACTGAAGGGAGAAACACCCTGAAACAAACAAGAACTGAAAGGACCTGCGGTAAAAGCCTGGAATAGCATCACAAATGAAGAATGCAACAGTTTGGTGATGTCGATGGGTCGCAGGCTTCAGGCAGTTATTGCAAGCAAGAGTTATGCCACCAAATATTAAATGTTATTTACTTTAAGATTATTTATTCCTTTACTTTTGCTCACCTAAGGCTGTGGTCTAATACAAATGGTGATATGTCCTGAGTTGTTTAACACATCAAATATGTGCGACGTGCCAGGTCTGTGCCCGACACAAGATGAAACAGTATTTACATGTGCAGAGACATTTGTATCATTTGCAAGGGGGGAGTGTCAGGCCTTGTTAATGAGGCTAGCTGCAGACGGGAAGAAGCTGTTTTTGTGGTGAGAGGTTTTGGTCCTGATGGACCGCAGCCTCCTGCCAGAGGGGAGAGTCTGAAACAGTTTGTGTCCGGGGTGGGAGGAGTCAGCTGCAATCTTTCCTGCTCGCTTCCTCGAGTACAGGTCCAGGAGAGAAGGAAGATTGCAGCCAATCACCTTCTCTGCAGAGCTCTGCAGCCTGCCCTTGTCCCTGGCAGTGGCAGCAGCGTACCAGATGGTGATGGAGGAGGTGAGGATGGACTCAGGGATGGGCTGGGCCTTCTTGGTGAGGGAGGTGATGTTCAGCTCCCACTTGAGGTCCTGGGAGATGACGGTGCCCAGGAAGCGGAAGGAGTCCACAGTGGTGACTGGAGAGTCACACAGGATGATGGGGGAGGGTGGGGCTGTGCTCTTTCTAAAATCCACGACCATCTCCACGGTCTTCAGAGCGTTGAGCTCCATGTGGTTCTGGGTGCACCAGGTCACCAGATGGTCGATCTCCCACCTGTAGGCGGACTCACCCCCACCTGAGATGAGCCCAATGAGAGTGGTGTCATCTGCAAACTTCAGGAACTTCACAGACTGGTGACTGGAGGTGCAGCTGTTAGTATACAGGGAGGAATGCAGAGGGGAAAGAACGCAGCCTTGAGGGGAACCGGTGCCGGTGGTCCTGGAATCAGACGCATGTTTTTCCAGCTTCACGTGCTGCTTCCTGTCCATCAGGAAGCCAGTGATCCAACTGCAGGTGGAGTCTACGCTCAGCTGGGAGAGCTTGTCCTTCTCGCACCTCCCTGCTAAACCTGAACTTTAATGCCCTGCACACGGCTCGGTCACCACTCCTAAACGCCTCCTCCTTTTCCAACCTTAGCTGTCTGAGTTTAGCTGTGAACCAGGGTTTGTCATTGTTATAACTCACCCTGGTGTGTGTTGGTATACATGTGTCCAGAAGCTGATGTAGGACGTCACAGCCTCTGTAAACTCATCCAGATTGTTGGTAGCAGTCCTGTAAAAACATCCCAGTCAGTGCAGTCCAAACATGCCTGGAGGTCCTCAACAGCTTCATTAGTCCACTTCTTTGATGTCCTCACTACAGGTTTACAGAGCTTTAGTTTCTGCCTGTATGCAGGAATCTGATGGACCATCACGTGATCAGAGTGTCCCAGTGGAGCGCGTGTGACGGCGTGATAGGCACTGCTAACTGTGGTGTAGCAGTGATCTAAAGAGTTCCCCTCTCTGGTTGGACACTTTATAAACTGTATGTATTTGGGGAGTTCTTGGCTGAGATTTCCCCTGTTAAAGTCACCGAGAACAATAACAAGGGAGTCCGGGTTTGTCTGTTCCACACACAGTATCTGGTCAGCCAGCATGCGCTGTGAATCCTGAACGTTTGCATGCGGCGAGATGTAAACACCGACCAGAGTGAATGAAGCAAACTCACGGGGTTTGTAAAATGGTTTACAGTTAATGATAAAAAATTCCAGATTAGGAGAACAGTGCTGCTGAATCACTGTCACGTCGCTACACCAGCCATTGTTAATATAAAAACAGACACCTCCACCTTTTGTTTTGCCGGAGAGTTCTGCTGGCTACAGTGCGGAGTCCGGTATCAGTCCACACAGCCAGGTCTCCGTGAAACACAGAACAGAAGATGAATAAAAGTCTCTGTTTTTCCCCACCAGAAGCTGAAGTTTGTCCAGTTTGTTGCACAGTGAGCGCACGTTGGAGAGAAATATTGCCGGTAGCGGTGAGTCCCCGCCAGCGAGGACGCATGAGCAACCCGACTCTTTTTCCTCTCCTGCGGCGCGAATGACAGCGAGCGAGCCCTTCACCAAAATGTCCAATAATTCCAATGATGATGCGAGAAAAGTAGGAATTAAATCCATTGGAGTTGTTCCCCTGATGTTCATGAGCCCCTCTCTGGTGAAAGACCACCGTGAATCACAGCCGAAAACACAGAGGCAGCTATACTCAGCACCATCTTGGAAAGGTTTTGTATATGTACTCTAACTGACTGACAAACTGGTGATGGCTAACCAACCAGACATCGTGTTGATCGACAAACAGCAGAAGAAGGCTGCAGTGATCGACAGGCAGTTGATTACTGCAGCCAATCCCAAGCGACAGCAAAATCAAGAAGAAGGAACACGAGAAGCTTGAGAAATACCAAGGGCTGAAAGAGGAGCTAGAAAAGATGTGGAACATAAGAGCAACAGTGGTGCCAGTGGTAATCGGAGCACTGGGGGCTGTGACCCCCAAACTGGGAGAGTGGCTAAAGCAGATTCCAGGTAAAACATCAGAAGTCTCTGTCCAGAAGAGTGCAGTCCTAGGAACAGCTAAGATACTGCGCAGAACCCTCAAACTCCCAGGCCTCAGGTAGAGGACCCGAGCTTGAGGATGACACATACCACCCTGCAAGGGCTGAGAGGGGGATTTTTTAAAATATATTTTATAAGTATATTTTATATGTATATATATATATATATATATAAAATAGAGTACAGTATACTTATCCAGAGATTATATACACAAACTAAGTAGATCAGACAACTGAACTAAATCTGGCCAATTATTGTCACACAACATTGTGAAAGGTCAATTTCCCTATCAGTGTGTCCTGTATAGATTTACAACTGAGCACAAAGAGTGAACGTTTGATCTGCTGCATTTGACAGATGGGAACTTAGATGCATCTGCTAAGAAGGTTCGGCAATAGCATAGAAGAACAGAGCGATAGCACCTTGCGCGCGCGCGCGCACACACACACACACACACACACACACACACACACACACACACCTGGCTATTGACACTACTTCCGTCTCCTTCCTGTTCCTCCTCAGTGAGGGATACCAGCGAGCCTCTCTCCTGGCTCTCCAGGAGTGAACTCCTCCCTGCGGTCCTCTCCTCCTGACCTCTGAGGCTGGGACACTGGACCCTGACTGCTACCCTCTCCACCTCCAGACCCTCCAGACTGTAGCTGGGTACAAGGACACAACATAAACATTTAAAATAAATATTTTACATTTCATAATGTGTGTAAGATTTCAGTATCAGTGTTTGGCCTTGATATGAACCATCCAACTGAAGGAAACCATCTGAAAAGCAGCTAGAAGCAAAATCTGTTTATTATTATCGACCTGTAGTGATTACCTTCTATTGTCTATTTGCTCCTGATCAGGACGACGCAGGTTGGATGGACACCAACTTATACTGAAGAAAGGGACAGATGGAAGGATGGATGATGGAATATGTGAAAACATGGAAAAGAAAGAGAGAAGATTAGATGTTTGATGAAAGGGATGTTTTAAATCTACAGTGAGACATAGGAGATCCATTGTGCAGACTGGACCAATGGTTTTAATCTGACCCGACTGTGCACATCTATTGCAGTTATGCGTGCTTCACTAAGAACCGAACTTCTCTTCCAATACCTCCAATCGCTGGCAGGTAAGCCTTGATCTGCTGGCCAGCATCACCTAATTGCGACCTAGCGACAGGCAGTTGCATTCAAGGCTCCAACTGAATGTAATTTTACTTCAGTATGGACAGACAACGGGATGTCAGAGTGGCCCAGTGTGACCAGCAGCACAGACGAAGAGTTGTGTTGTAGAATGCTATGCATTCTATTCAAAATGTTTGGAGCTTACACGAAATGGAGCTTGTTCAGTACTCATTTTATGAAGTGCAGAACGTAAATGTAAATGCTCTGTATTTATATAGCACCTTTCTAGTCTTTTCAACCACTCAAAGCGCTTTTACACTACATCTGCATTCACCATTCACATTTATCTTTTATCCAAAGCGACATACAATTGCTATGCATGTCAGAGGTCACACGCCTGGAGCGACTAGCGACACAATGGTGGATGTCTCACAGTGGGAACCAAACCCTGGTCTCCCACACCAAAGGCAAGCATCTTATCTATGCGCCATCACCACCCCACACACATTCATACACTGAGCCTAAGTGCTCAAACAGAAGAACAGAACAGAAACTAACAGCCACCAGGGGCAATTTGGGGTTCAGTATCTTGCCCAAGGACACTTCGACATGCAGCCTGGGGGAGCCGGGATTGAACGGCCAACCTTCCGATTAGTGTACAAATTGTAATAGGTGGTCATATATTAGGAAGGTGGGTATCTTGTCTCTGTGGAATCTGATTGGAATGTCCTCCTTGATCTAATCTTGATTTACTGTGAGGAAAAGAACTGACTGAATGACAGAGGGAGGATGTTGCATGCACAGCGAGCACTCCAGGTCAACGAGTAGAAGGAGTGGGTGATGAGATCAGGACACAGTGCTAACCCAGCAGGGCTCCCTTACATGCCTGAGCTATCAGAACATCTAGCTAGTCTTCAGCAAACAGGAAGTGCGTTGTTAAGGTGACAATAGGTTACAACAACATCTACAACAAGAAAGAAAATAAATACATCGGTGATATGAATAGAGCAGAAAACATAAACATATAGGACTGCTGAATTTAATTGCAAGTATTGAAGTAACTGAATCATTGGATTTGTGTGTGTTACAACTGCTTGACTAGTAAAGTCCTTACATTGCCTAGCCCCAGCTCGTGTTTGTCTAGTGCCAGGATAACTTCCTCCTATTTTCACTGTAGTATTGTAACGCTCAAATATGTGCTGCAGAGAAGCAAAGAGAGCACAGAGCTGTGAACTTAAGGTGAGGTGATGCAAACTGATGTGTTGATAAGCTGACACATCCCTGCACCATATTAGACTGAGTCAAAGAGGATTTCTCCATCTCCACCCCACACTGTAAAGCTACTTCTTTTATCCCATTAATGACTTTTCCATTGGAAACCATGCATGGCACAGCGAGAGTTTGAGGTGTGTGTCATGTGAGCAGGCTGGGGATGGAAAGATGACTGAATCACTGCACTTCAGTCATAAAAGACAAGAATACTAAACTCCACACAAACACCTGATGATGGCATGGTCATGTCATGAGAGCTTCACATGCTATGACTAAATAATGTTGGACTCATGTTGGTATTCAGTGTGGTACAAAATGGCATCAAAACATCTCTACAGGCTTGTCTTTTAGTCTTTTTTCCATCATGTTTCTGAACTACTGCAAGTGAATTCAAAGCTGAATTAAAGCGTAAATTATGTGGCGCTACAGAGTACCCGGTAACTATACCTTATGTCCTAGTATGTCAAGTGTGGATCACACCATGAAAATTTCAATTCATCACATGATGAGTGTCACACAGCTAGGGCTGAAACGATTCACTGATTAAATCATTAAGATCGATTAATAAAATGCATCGACGCAAATTCTTTGGATCGCTTATGCTGTGAACATGACGTGATTATTGGAGCTGTTTGCAAAGTGGCGGAAGAGAAAGAAAATAGCGAGGGACAAGAAGAAAAGAATGAAGTGTCCAAAGTATGGTATTATTTCAAGCTAAAGAAAACAACTACTCTGTAATGTTACCATCCATCCACCTATAGCACGATGGCACCTGATCAGAAAGCAGCCGGTGTTCTGCCATCGGACCACAGACGAGGTAACAGTAACAGCAACTTTAGCATTTAACTAAAATCATGGTTGATTGTTGAGTTGAAGCCAAAGTAAGGTGCAGACCTCAGCTGAAAATGTACACACGTGTTTGTTGTTCTCCTTTTTGGGCCGTGAGTTGTAACCTCACAGTCAGGAGTTAACTGGCTGTCGGGGAGCTGCACCTATTAACTCCCCTGCAGCTCTCTCTATAGCTCAGACAATCCCTGCTACCTGCGTGTGCAAATCCATCCTTTCACCCAGATTCTGTCTTTATAATAACAAACAGAAGCTATTTCGTGTGCAGGTTCACTCATTTCGCGTTTCACATTTCACGAGTTTTCTTGACGAGTTTGGTGCAGATGTGAGCATGTACACTGAAATTACAACCACTTCCTGTTTCATGGATAATTAATGATTTGGACCCCACGCCACAGGCACGCCATTTCACGAAAACTCACCGTTTGTACAACTTTTAATGGTCAATGGCTTTAGGGTAGTTCAGGGTGGGACTCTTTAGTACAGATCTGAGCATGTACAGTCAAGTTATAACAACTTCCTGTGTCATGGTCATGCGTTTAAGCTAGCCGCCATGCCACCGCCACGCTGTTAAATGCAAACTCACAAGTTTTACAACTGAGCTTCATCAATGTGTTTTCTGAGACAGTTTTGAAATTGATATGGCCAACCTGCTTGGAGTAGCCAATCATAGTGTAAAATGTGTCATTTCCTGTTGCCAGACTATGGCTTTGAGTTAATATTGGCATATGGATGTGTTCTTATTATACATTTAAAATTTGGTGCAGATGTGAGCATGTATACTGAAGTTATAACAACTTCCTGTTTCATGGCAACATCGATTTTTGACAATGGGCAAACTGATCGACTGGTAACCGTTTTGGCTTTTTTGTACGTCTCGACATGATACACGTACCACAGAAATTTCATACATGTAGGTGAGACTTTGTCTGGGGGCTGCTCTGTAGGGGGCACTAGTGAGCCATTTTGCCACACCCATGCGCGAAACCCATAAAATAAATTTTTTTTTGCCACAACTGAATTAAGTTTGGTGAGTTTTTGAGCACGTTTACGCCCCCAAAATGATTTTAATTTGCAGATAAAAGAAAGTTCCAATTCCAATCGGGACCTCAAACGTTTTGTGCTCGGGCCCTAATAATAATCCCTTTAGTTCCAATAGGGACCTCGTATGTATCATGCTTGGGTCCTAATTACTGACTGTCTCAAGTGGAAAGGCCTGGGCAGCGACTCTTCTATGACCAGCAATTTGGCTTAAAAACACTATACAGAAGTAAAAAGAAAAAGAAGAACTATAGTGATGTATGGGTAAAGCAGCAGATGAATGAAAGGTGTACCTTCTCCTGTGGAGGAGGGGCTTGGCTCTCTTCGCCTCTCCTGACAGGCTCATCAATGAGCTGAAAGAAGCAACATATGGACTGTTAGTGGAAAGTAAAGGAGGGATAGACTGAAAGAGCTGAAAAAAAGAATTGAAGTGAGGTGAAGTTTGTCTTTTAAAGTACAATGTCACTGTTCTTTTTAGATTGTCAGTATTGAACTTAAAGAGGTGGTATTCTGCTCATTTTCAGGTTCAAAATCTTATTTAGGGGTTGCTCCAGAACAGGTTTACATGGTTTAATTTTCAAAAAACACCATATTTTTGTCATACTGCACATTGCTGCAGCTCCTCTTTTCACCCTGTGTTGAAGGCTTTGTTTTAGCTATGAAGTGATACATCTTGTCTCTACATTACCTTTGTTGGGAGTTGCACATGCGCAGTTCCTAGTTAAGGACTACTAGCTAATCAGAAGAAGAGAAGGGCGGGTCAGTGAGAAGCTGGTAAAAAGCTTTGGTTCAGCTGTATATCCCCTCACCAGCTTAGCAACATGGACTGGAGCAAGAGTTTGAGAGTGGTGAGTTATTAATCTGTAACAAAAGTATATTTAATTTCAATTCAGAGCAGAGTTTTCTGTGGGAGATGGGAACTCCCTTTGGGGTGGACTTTGGGCTTTTTCACTTTGCAAACTTATTACATGCACAAAAAAGAGATATAACTCAATAAAGGAGAGGGAAAGAGGCAAAAAGCATAAAATGACCTCTTTAACCAACTTAAAAAGTCTGGTGCTTTTGCTGGTTGAAGCCATTAAAATGTTCATGTTGAAGCCATTAAAAGCCCTTCTGCTACCTTAAGACATCCATTTGTTATTAGATGTGAATGAACAAGTGCTCATGTGTGCTTCATTACAATAACCAGAACCTACTAGTCTAGAATAGGCTACAGTCCTGAAGAGGGTAGACAGGTCACTATGTGTAGAATTCCTATATTATTATAGCATGTTTCTAACGATTCTGTCCACAGAAGACTGGGTGTAGTCTATAGGTGGTCTATAGGCTGTTATGAACAGTCTATGTGGTCAAACACAAAGGAAGCTGTCTACTGACACACTTTCTCGCCGCAAAACGCGGAGAACACAGGCTGTTGCATCCCAGTCAACTGCAGGAAAGAAACAAGGTAAGCTGCTTTGAATATAGATGGTTAGGGGTAAGGGTAGGATTAGGGTTGGGCCCACAAAATCCTGGAGGGACTGTTTAGTTATTCAACTATAATTCTAAAGTAAAAAAAAAATCACATCTACCTTTGCAGTTTTCACGTATTCCCACAATCTCATCGCAAAATGAGGCATTTTAGGCCGCAACAATCACAAAAAAGCCCTGGGATTAGCTGGCAGCTGATGCTATTCTGGAAGATGACCACTCTTTGTAGGCAGCTTTAGGCTAGAGCTGAATACTATGCCTTTATGTTAGCTAAGCTAGTAAGACTAGCTGTAGTCACACATTAGCCCTGTGCTGCTAGCACGGCAAGTGTAGCCTTGGACAAAGTCTGACCATCAATCCTGGCTCAATGCCAATGGACACAAAATATAATAAGTGGTCTATGTGAGAGGAACAGCAGTGATGTGTCACGCTTTAGTAATACCGTTACCACGGCAGCCACATGTCAATGAGAATTAGTACAGTACATGCTGTTTGGATGTGTCATACACCAGTAGAACAGCAACATACCAGTTCCCAGTGGTATACATATTTGTTCTGTGCTGAGAGGATTCCTGCATCTTGGCTGAAAACAGTGACCCTGTGGTTCAAAGTAACACTGGCCAGTGTCATGAAACGTGCTGTTGATGGCTTACAAACAGCTACACAGCCTTCTATTTCAACAAGCTACTCCAGCTAACCTTACTGAATTAACAATTTCCTGACTGGAGAAAGGTTTGCCTCAGAAACGGTAATGTTCTGCTTTAAAGAAAGCCTGTGAGATGTGTGTCTGAAGTCACTGTGTGCTAAGCTGATTCTACTGACAGCAGCTCATCTTTTATGGTCACTTAGGCACTAGATGACTGTCTAAACAACAGCATCACTCATTCATTTGCTGTGTGCACAACAGCACTACTGAGAGCTCAAGCTGTCTAAGGTGACATTTTATTAATGTGTATTGGTATCTTACATACATACATGCATTCTGTAATCTGTTACAGCTGCAGGGACCACTGGTGCATGTGGTGATCGTGTCTCCTCTTTGTTTGTCAGGTATTGTTTTCACAGTTTTTACTGCTTATTTCTTTCCCACTGCAACCTGCCTAATCTGACCTTTCTATTTAGATGCACAGACATCAGTAAATTCAGAAGAATGTGAAATCTACTAGAGTTATATAACCTCATTCAAATGCATATGCAGAAGTGAAGGGGGGTGACACACCCTGCATATAGCTCAAATGGCTATTGGCAAACAGATGGCTGCTGCTCTGCTCTGATAAGTAACACATGGCCTTAGTTCAGACTGTTTAATACACAGATAAGCAGGCTGTAGTGGAGATCACATCACACTGACTCTCAAAAATATGCTCCTGTGTTCTGTTTGGTGCCTCTTTGCTTTGACATATATCAGGGTCCTTTGATGGCTCTTTAAAGACTAACCAGTCCTATGAGATACCATGACAAGGTACTTTACAATCCTAACTCAGGAAGCCATTCATGATGCTGACAGCCAGTACCTGCGCTGTGCGATGTCATTATCTGCAGCGGCGTTGTTCCTGCCTGGTTCCCAGCTGTGACGACGGAACGGAGACAAGGAACTCATGGAGGCTGGCAACATGGGAGAGGAGACAGGACTTTGTAGAAGCTGGTCTTTTTTCTCTTCTTCTCCTCCCCCTCCTCCTGGGACACAAATACAAAAGCATTACCCACTGTGACCCTTACAAAACAGCATTACCTTCTTCATTTTTATATGTAACAGAGGTCCTAAACCCACATCCCCATCCCTGTTTAGATCAACTGAATGGGGATGAATGTATTGTCATAAGATGTGTGTACTTTTTTATAGATACAGGTTTACATAAAACTTTTACTTGAGATTAGCAGCTTCTGAGAAGCTATAAATGAATCATTTGGTATTCTTTACTTGATGCTGTCTTGGTATCATCATGGGAAAATATGAGACTTTATTCATCCCGAGAAAGTTTTGTGTCCAAGATGCTGAGTATACAGTAACTAAATTAAATGAAAGTATATGTAAATGAAGAATAAAGGACAAAGTTCAAATGATGGCTCATGAATGAATGAATGACACATGAATGAATCATAAATTACAAACCCCATTTCCAGAAAACTTGGGATATTTTCCAAAATGCAATAAAAACAAAAATCTTTATTTAACTAACAAAAATACAAAGAAAAGATTAAAATAAAAGTAAAATAAGAGTTAAAATAAGATTAAAAAGTGCACAGAAAATTCAAGTCACACCTGTTTGAAAGACTCCACAATAAGCAGGCTAATTGGTAACAGCTGAGGTGTCATGATTGGATATAAAAGTAGCATCCACCAAAGGCTCAGTATTTGCAAGTATGGGTTGTGTGCAAAAATTGGCAGTCAGTTCAAAGGGAACATTTCTCAATGGAAGATTGCAGAAAATTTAGGTCTTCCAAAATCAACAGTACATTACATTGTGAAAAGATTCAGGGAATTTTGAGATATCTTAATGCATAAAGGGCAGGGTCCTTCACAGATATGGCGGTGAGTTGCATGTGTGTGAAGGTACCATTGATGCAGAGACCTAATGGGGTTTTAAAGAGACATGTTGCCATTAGGGCTGCATCTAATGATTATTTTCGTAGTTGACTAATCTGTTTTAATAATTTTTTCGATTAGTCGACAAGTCACGATTATTTTTATCACACCCTAACCCTAACCAAACCATTTAACTAATTAAATATCTTTTGAGTGAATTACTGATCTCCAACATACAGCCTAAGCGTAGGCTACTCCTACAATTCACAGCTCCAATAATCTTTTAACAAAGATTTTTCCTTTGATCTATATAAAATAAAACCATATTAAAGGCAAATACTATAACCACAACTGTACTCTAACAGTCTCCTATTGAAAATGTATGGCGCATTACGAAAAGGAGAATCAGAAAACGGCGACCACAAACTGTTGAGCAGCTGAAGTTTTGGATCAAGCAAGAATGGACAAAAAATCCAACTCCAAAATTGGAACAATTAGTATCTTCACTTCCCAAACTATTACAGAGTGTTATTAAAAGGAAAGGTGATTTAACACAATAGGAAACATACCTCTGTCCCAATAAAAGGCATGAGTGTGTTGCAGGCATGAAAATTCTTTGTATAAATTTACACAATACAATTACACTACCAAGTACAACTATTGAAAACCTTTTCTTTTTACTTTTGTCAGTGAAATAGAGGTTCATGTAAATTAACAAATCCCCCAAAAAGAAGTGTAAAATGTGGAGAAAATGCAAAAGAGCAGATGATTATGCTGAGAGGTGAAAACACAGAATTTTATATAGGTAGTCTAGAATAGAGTAAAGAGTAGTCTAGTATTTGTATATGTTTTGATGTTGAGTTTGAATATAAACCACTTCCTTGATTCCTGGAATCACTTCACACACTTATAGGGCGGCTGTGGCTCAGGTGGTGGAGCGGGTAGGCCGTTAATCGGAAGGCCGGCGGTTCAATCCCTGGCTCGTGCGTGTCCCCCTGGCGGCTATTCCGCCAGTGTATGACTGAGTGTGGATGTTAGTTTCCGTTTGAGTACTTAAGCTCAGTGTGTGACTGGTGTACACACATTGGCATTGACTGGCAGATGTAGTGTAAAAGCGCTTTGAGTGGTCAAAAAGACTAGAAAGGCGCTATACAAGTACAGAGCATTTACATTTACTTCACTTCAATATGTAAATAAGAACAGCTTCTGTGACAAAACATAAAAGAACAAACGGAGTGCTTTACCTCTGTCCTCTGTTTTTAACTTCCAGGACAATCTGGAGCTCTGAGAGACCACAGCATCAGATGTGCCCGCTGACAAAGCTCCCTCACTAGGACAGAGGGTTCCCTGTATCAATGCATCATCTGTAGAGGAACAGGAGACATGGACCCCTCTGTCCCTGTGTCCAACACAGGGGGGAGGATCTTTGGGCTAGAGAGGAAAAGCAATGAAGGCTTGATTGTAGTTAAAAGAGGCATTTCATTTAATTACTCAGGAGTGCAGGATAATAAAAACATTTAGTGGAAATCCAGAACAAGTGAATAACAGTTCACACTGATCACACTCACACTTTTCTACAGAGCAACTGAAAACAGTTTCCATGACCTTTCAGGTGCTATTAAACCCTCTTCTCAAACCTTTCAGAAACTTCACAGCACTGTGCAGAGGTCAACTGAGTAATCGACTGCCGTCAGGCCCTTGTGACAGCTTTCGGTATGTGCACACAACTCCAACAGTGTATCATACTCATATGATACACTGTTGGAAAGCTAAAATCTTTGTGATTCAACCAATGCAAACCATTTTGAACACAACAGCGGGTACAAAAAGTGCCTCTGTCAGACCAGCCAGCACCTGGACATCCTAGAGAGCTGAAATTCTTCAGCACATCCAATGACATGTCTCACTGCAACCTATGGACAACTAAGAAGTCATCACTCTATATTTTTCAGAATATGCTAAATCAATTTACATCGATATCTCCATAAGTCGTTGTTCAAATTCTACTAAAATTCTAGATGGCAGATATCAAGTGTTTCAAAGGGTTTTCAAATTGGTAAAAAGTGAGTCAGCAGTGATATTCAATATCTTGCTGTAACTTGTACATTTTATTTTTGCTATTTTTGTTTAAACTCATAAAAATCTCCAGCAAATGTCCGGCACCTGTGATGTCATTACCTAACTTTTGAGTGGCTCTCACCAGTAGCTCAGTCAGTAAGTCCATTACTCCTGGGCTTAAATCCCCAGGTGGCCCCAGTCCCAATTGCCAAGAATGGGGTTGTTCACCTGTGTGGTGTGTTTTCAATTACTTATTGAGGCCTCACTTATTGAGTGAGTCAACGTTTCCCTACTGTACTTGGATCCTGTGAAAATTTCTTATTAGTTTTCTCTCTTTGTGCGGAAAAAAACTTGAAAACTTGGAAACAGGTGGGTTGCAAATTTCACCCACTACTCAGGCACATACACCAATCAGCCATAATGTGGGGCGGCTGTGGCTCAGGAGGTAGAGCGGGTTGGTCGTTAATCGGAAGGTCGGCGGTTCAATCCCTGGCTCCCCCTGGTTGCATGTCGTTCCTTCGTTGGTATCTTTACCACCATTGACGGTCGTTCAGTCTTTGCCACTGGTGGCTCTAACGACCATGACGACTGTCGTTACAGCAACCAGGAACACTGACGAACCAGCGGTATCGATGACCCGGGATAACGACCCCACTGAGGTTAAATAGCTGAGTTTCCCTGCCAGTAAGTCAGAACTGAAGAAGTCCTTTGGATGAGGGACGAAATGTCTTCCAGTATCTTCAACCAAGTCCAGTTGCCCTTGATTTTAACCTTCGTTGGACAACTAAGAGGACAAAATGTCCATTTGCTGCCCAATATATCCCCCCTACTGACAGGTGCCATGGTAATGAGATAATCATTGTTATTCACTTCACCGGACAGTGGTCATAATGTTATGGCACTCATTGACTTCAAGGTGATAATTTAATAATTAGGGCTGGACCCAAATATTTGAATATTCAATCGTTGGGTACACAGGTTTTTTTTCGCGCGCCTGACCTCCACTCACAGCAGTGAACGTATTGCTCCAGTTCACATCAAAGGGGGAAAAAATGAAGCCCTCAGCGGTAAGGGGACATTTTAAATTGAGTGATGACAACTGCAGTGTGGCAGTTATGGTGTTTATTAATTTTACAATTGCTTAATTTCACTACAATTCAAAACAGTCAAAAAACCTTCAGTATTGAATACTGAAATTATTCAGTAAACTGAAGGCTACCACAAATAACATAAGGAACACATTTAAATAATTATATTAGGCTGATTACAGAAGAAGAGCATTTAGTCGCTATAATAAAAGTTAAAAGTGAATTATGCATAATAACGTTTAGTTTCGTTACCGGAATTAGGGCTCATCCCGTCTGCTCTCCCTGGACCCCCATCCGGCTAAACTATTCCCATATTCTTCTATGAACCTGCTCTGATCAGACTCTCTCACTCTGGACTCTCAGCTACGGTTCCCCCTGCTCTGCTCAGCAGCCTCCAACCCGGTTCTGCATGCATCTATTTTCACTCTACCTCGCTTTCCCCCGTCTCAATATCCAATCCCTTTAACCCAGCAATAAATATTGCTCTTTAACGTAACTGCTCCCTTTCTTAGTCCTGCACTTGGGTCTGCTAGCCTAGCCATAACAAAGTAAAAAACGTTTTGGTAATAATCACTTAATTAGCCTATGCTGTGAGAATAAATAAACGGAGCGCTCTCTCTCTTTTTCTCTCTCTCACACACATGCACACACAGATAGACTTATGCACCAATGCCCGCCGTTATATCTCCCCCATCTGATTCTCCCTCACTCCTCTCAGTGGCAGAACTAGGGCATTTATCCTCAAATGTTGCCCGATCATTGTCACTGGCTGGTAGATTTTTATTTACTGATCTTTCCATGACCTCTTGTTTGTTTGTTTTTCTTTCTTATTTGTTTTTTGCTTACCGTGCTTAAAATATGAAAAATGATCAGCTTTAACACATGGACATGTATGGGGTTTTACCTTTTTAAAGTGACTGTCATCCAGTTCAGCACTGGCTTTCAGACTGCCTTTGTCTCTGTGCAACAGACACACTGACACACAATCCTCTCTGTCTGGATGGATGTCTGGAAAGATATAAAGGAGGGGCCAAAAGTGGGGAGAGAAGAGAAAAACACCTGGGTCAGTGATCAAGGTAAATCTATGATTGTTTTCCGCATGCTGACTAAGTTAAAGATATAACATCTTGTTTTTCAGTAGTGGCATATTGCAGCAAACCAGGGAGACAGGAAGTTGACATCATATCACCCAAACCACAGAGAAACAGTGAGACAGGCAGAAGGTCTACTGACAGGGTTTCTGCAGGTTTCACCTAGACACATTTAAGACCTTTTAAGACCTTTTTAAGACCATTATGAATGAAATTGAAGACCTATATCACAAGATCAAATAGAAAACTACAAAGGAAATGCAGTAACAAAATTACTTGCAGAAATGTATGTATGTAAATGTATTCAAATATAACATAACTGAACACATTAGTTGTCTTGTTGAAAAAAAAACATACAAACATGTTAGCGTAAGTTTGTGGATGCGTGAGTGAGTGAGAGAGTGTGCACACTATGTTAATGTGCTTCAGGTTTTTTTGTAAGCAAACAAATTTTGGTGGGGTTTTGGTATATGGAGGACAGATCCTGACGTAAAGGGAAATAAATACAGAAATAAATAAATGCTTAATAAATAAATAAACATCTGATTAAATGCACAAAAAATAAAGTAAATAAATAAATTTAAGCAGTAATAAATTATACAATGAGAAATAAATGTTTAAATCTCTTTTCTTGATATGCCACACCTGTGAGGTGGATGGATTATCTCGGCAGAGGAGAAGTGCTCACTAACACAGATTTTGACAGATTTGTGAACAATAGAGAAACAGGCCTTTTATGGACATAGAGAAAGTCTTAGATCTTTGAGTTCAGCTCATGATGAATGGGGGCCAAAACAAAAGTGTTGGGTTTATAATTTGGTTCAGCGTAATTTAGGCAAGCTGGAGCAGAAAACAAATTACCTTTCTCAAGTTATACAGTAATTATTTATTTTCATTCTTTACACATATTACACAAGATGAATAAGCTATGCAGACAGTTCTTCTGAATGTTCTCCACTTGTTATCCTTTAGTTACACAGTAATATTAGGAGTGTGTGCTGTGTTAAAAGTACCCACTGTTATCCCATGCTCTCTAATCACACAGTAACGATGGGATACGTGCTGTTCTCCCATTCTTCCTCTGTATCTCCGCATAAACAACAACGCATGTAAGAAGGGCATATAAAAGGAATTTATTCTATTGTTTTTGGGTTATCTTCTTTGTTGCTCTTCTTCTTCTTGTCTCCTGACAAATATGGTTATGTCCTCCACATGCTGCCTCCTCTGTCTTCTGTGGAAGACATAAAAGAACAATAAATAGCCTACATTAAATAATTTTGGCTTGTAAAGTGCAATAAAGTTAACTTTAAATTGACTCCATTACCACACATGAAGCATGGCTTAATAGCAATCACATTTAACAGAAGTATAAAATTCAACTTAATAATAACAGTCAAGATTAGTTTGTTAGTCACCATTACTAGTTTAAGAGCTTTAGCCTAAATGGCATTTAACACTACACAAATTAGCCTAGCGGCTAGCGGACTTTTCCTCTCCTCATAGCTTAACAAATGTACATATTATTCATAGTATTTCTTACTCACCACTGGTGCAGTCACTGCATCTCCTGACACAACATTTGAATTTTCACCCTGAATGGAAAGTTTGTTGAAACAGCAGCTGATAGTAGAAGAGCAACAAGCTCCTCTGTGTGGAGCATTTACCGTAAAGGTTTGAATATGAGTGCACTCCAGATTCAGCTGCTGCTAGCTGACCGTGTGGTTCTCAAAAGCAACGGCTCACTTTCCTGCAGTTCTGTGTACATGTATGTCACTGAATGAAAACTCTGTTGGTCAAAGCGTCCACAATAAGAAGGAAGACATGGCTGGTAGTATTGTCTTCAAATACAGTTGTTAAACACCTCAGTTCACTGTAGGAAGCCATCTGACTGTGTGAGGAGCAAGGCTCGTCTGAAGTTCACCCCTTGAGACACAGCCCCTCCTCATTTGCATAATGAGGCAGAAATGTTTGGGAAATAAATAGGGTAGAAATGCAAAGGAAGAATAAAACAGACAAAAATATTAAAACACACACAAATAAATTCATTTAAAAAAGAAGTAATTAATAAATTTGGCGCAATATAAATAAAATTGAATTGAAATTAAATTAAATTAAATTGTATTTATATAGCGCCAGTTATCTCACAGCACTTTTCATAAAAGAGCAAGTCTAGACCATACTCTGTGAAGTTATTTACAGAAGCCCAACCATTAGTAAAGTTGAAGATTATAACGGACAATAAATAAATACGGTAATTATACAAAGGTGACTAAATAAAGAAGCTAATTAAAAGATACTTTTATGTCTCATTGTATAATTTAATTACTGCCTACATTCATTAATCTACTTTGGGTTTTTTTGCACTTAATCGGATGTTTATTTATTGAGCATTTATTTATTTATGTATTCATTTCTGAAATTGTCAGGATCAGTCCTCGATATCAGTGGTCCTCTAATAAACAAATATGCAATTCCACATAATTTTGGAACATTATTGTGAATAATAAATTGGTAATCTAGAGCAGATTTTGAATAAACTACACCCCAAAAGCTAAACTTGCTAAAGAAGTCTACTGAGGGGGAATTACCATTTGATCTGGGAAAAGTAATTTAATTAGTTTTGCTTGAATTTTACATTCTTAGCACAGCACCAAGCAGTTTTGAGCTTCACTATTTTATAATGGCAGTGAAAACACTCTTAATACGACCTCAGAATCGAGGTTATTATCGTTAACGAAGACGAACAAAATAACGAAAACTAGATGTAAAAAAAAATGTCGTGAACTGATATACAAATAAAAACGAGGCTTTACACAAAACGATAACAAACTGTATTGTAGGTTTGCAAAACTAATTAAAAAACTAAAATGAAAGCGTAAATGTCCTCAGTTATTGTTTATTTATTTATTTATTTATTTTATGGGACCTAAATAAGCCAACATTTAGAGTGGATATAAAGCCGGTGGAACTGATGTTGCAGGGCAGTTGGTCTGGCCGTACCCATGGGCAGAACCAGCAGTTCAGCAGTGCACGCAGTGATTAGCAGATAGCCACCTGTTGGTGAGCCGCGGGTGTGTTATGATTTTGTCCTCTGTATGAAGAGCTGGCATGCTGCGTGTCGCCTGGCTGTCCTGCCACGATTGCTGTATCCATCAAGAAAGTTTCAGGGAAGCATCTGGCCACAATGTAGCAGGTGTTGACCACTGTTACGAGGAGAGCCCTATGTAACGTCAGGCTAGTCGGGGAGACCCAGGTAGGGATCGGCTGCGTAGTTGGTGGGATTTGAACATGTTTTCTATTATTTTTTACACATACATGCATACAAAAAAAGAGTGCAACAACCGCATAGAGCTGTGTTTTGTTTAGTTTGGGCTGCAGGTAACTTTGTGAGTCACTGTCTTGGTGGTTTTCTTTTCCTTGTTTTTCTGTTCCATTCTGATGGTCTGGCTTAGTACTCATCCTGTGTGTGGGACAAACTTGCCCACTGACTGTGAGCTCCCCTTGCGCTGGGTTAACATCTGCTGTTCATTACATTTACTGCATGTCAGCTAGTGTGTGTTTTATGGGCTCATTCATATCTCAGCCAACCTGTCTCTTTTTGCCATACATTGTTTAATACCTATTTTTTGATAAATAAAAGTTTAGATTTTAATGTAACTGCTTTCCAGTCATACTTGCCTTCAGGGTGCTAGGGACCTGTTGTTTGTGGCTCCAATGGGGGCCTCCACTATCTTCAAATTTCTTAGCTCTCCATCAATTGTATTTCACCTCCATTTATTGTGTTTCACCTATATAACCAAGAATAATAGAGCTACAGATGTAATGAATTTCTTTGGACCACTGGGTAATAGGATTAGGGTAGTTTGCTCTAAGGGTTTTCTGTATATACGTTCGAAATTATACTATAGATTGCATGTGCTTATTTGTATTATTTATTTAGCTTGGCATCCTGCAGTGACAGACTAAAACTAACACTGAAACTAAAACTAAGCATTTGCAAAACATAAAAACTAAACTAGCAAACCCACAATCCAAAACTATAATAACCTTGTTCAGAATTATTACAGATAGGCAAGATACTGAACCCCAAATTTCCCCTGGCGGCTGTTCCGGTGTATGAATGAGTGTGAATGTTAGTTTCTGTTTGAGCACTTAGGCTCAGTGTATGAGTGTGTATGACTGGTGAATGCAGATGTAGTGTAAAAGCGCGAGTGTTCGAAAAGACTAGAAAGGCGCTATACAAGTATGGAGCATTTACATTTACCAAATCCACCTACCTCAAGTACATAACAACTGCACATAATACTTATTTATTCCTATGCACTATGCTCCATCGCAATGTTTACATGTATGCATGTATGAGTATGTGCACCTGTATATCTCATCCACCTCAGACATGTACATAATAATAAAATAAATTTACTCCTGCACTCTGCTCATTAAACTATTGTCTCAATCTGTCTATATTGTTTTTGTCTCTGTTTATAGTGTGTATATATGTGTTCTCTATAGTGTAGCCTGTGTCTGAACACAGCAGCTCCCCGTTGAAGAACCGGGTTATCACACATCAAGCAGACTGCTTGACTCAAGGCCTTAAACACCCCAAAAAAGGAGGAGGTTTCGAAGGTCTGCTACATAAAAAATTATTTCTACTGGTGGTGGTTGGGAAGTTTCTACCATAAAACCCACCATCTCTGGTGAAGTTAAGATAACTGACTCTACTCATGACAATTTAACCTTGTCCACAGACGTCACCCTGAACCAGGCTGTCAGGACCTCTAAAATGGACATAAACTAAAGACACTAACACACACATCTCACACACACACATGCACAACAAACACTGTCCCTCCTTTCTTCGCGCTGATGTGCGAACATCGCTAGATGCCAGAGAGAAGAGGACAGCCACAAAAATTCAAACCCTGTGAACAAAGAATGTTTTCTCCTTATAAACTTACCTTATTACTTTGTTTTAATTAAATCATCTTTGTTAAGTTACTTAGTGGCCCTCACCTCCTCAATTTGAGTAGTTTTATTACCATGTCGTTCTTGTTTAAGAACTATGTGGCCACAGACTACAGATAAAATGCTACAGCACTTTGTGATTTTTGATGGACACCCAATCATTCCCTTTACAGGCAAAATCTATGTACCAAAAGCAAGGTTGTCACTTTGTGTTGAAAAGTGGTGGGGAAATTTAAGGGTTCAGATTAGGGGTGTGACCACGACACATGATAATGCAAAATACTGGAGTCACGAGAGCAAGACAACAAGATACTCCAAAACTATTTAGAAGAAATATTCATTGATGAAATAGGGTATTTGAATGGGGGGGTCTGGGGCTCCTCCCCCAGAAGAGTTTGAGCATCAAACTATTAATTTCCTGCATTCTAGATACATTTTCTGCACAAACTTATGGTGGAAATGTCTTCATTTATATGAAGGGACTCAAAATTCATGTATAAAAATATCATCAACTATAATGCATTAATCAGTAGCATGTTTTTTTTAGCTTAAGTTACTTTTGTTTTGGACAAGGCAGATCTGTTTCTTCTATATTTACATTGCATTTCATGTTTTCCTATTGTGCAAGTAAACCTTTCTCATAGAACTTTTATTTGTTATTTAACATCTCCTTGTGCTCATTTATGCCTGTGTTCAGTGGTTAACTAATGCCATGTTTCAAATACCTCCTATATTTTCTTAAAGAGGTGGTATTATGCTTTTTGGATTTTTCCCTCTCCTTTATTTATCTTTTTTGTGCATGTAATAGGTTTGCAAAGTGAAAAAGCCCAAAGTCCACCCCAAAGGGAGTTCCCATCTCCCACAGAAAGCTCTGCTCTGAACTGCTTGAAAACAGCTCATTTGTAGTACTTCCCTAAATGCGCCTCATATAATGCTCGCCATGCAGATACTTCGACACGCCCTCACGCCTGGGGGGAAAACATTGAGCTGCAGCACACACCTCTCCCTTCCAAACACTAGCTCTCTCCAGGCAGTCAGTGGACATAAAGTTGTTACTGTGATGTAGAGACAGAGCTCAGTTAAAACTTTATGGATGAAAGATACTTTTATTACAGATTAATAACTCACCCTAAATAAGATTATGAACCTGAAAATGAGCATAATACCACCTCTTTAACTAAGAACGTGTAACAATCAATATTATCCTGGAAATATTTAGTTAAACTTTTCTGTTCATCTGCTATGATCACTATAAAATGTTGTTTTAACTGTAACAATTCTACTCGTTACAATGATTAACACAGTAGCTTTTCCTTTCCTGTTATGTAAATGTAAATGCTCCGTGTTTGTATAGTGCTTTTTACACTACATCTGCATTCACCATTCAAACACTGAGCCTAAGTGCTTAAACAGAAACTAACATTCACACACATTCATACACTGGCCAGGGGCAATTCGGGGTTCAGTATCTTGCCCAAGGACACTTCGACATGCAGCCTGGGGATTGAACGATTGAACGGCCAACCCGCTCTTCCTCCTGAGCCACAGCCACCCCACATTATCCAATGCTTAAAACTAAGAACTCTATACCTGTTTATCACATTTAAGAAAGTGTTGATATTGTGGAAAGGTATTTGATTAAAACACATTCAAACAGACTTTTTTCAGATTAAAGTTAAAACTTTGAGGCACATGAGGTGACTCCCACCATGAAACGTCACCCAAAACTGAGGATAATCGCAGTGTTCTGTGATTGGGCCTGGGCAAGAGGGCTCTACAGCGTCTTATCATTATTTTTATTCTTATACATTGGTCGCATTTTTGGGGTGCATAACATGCATGAAAAGTTGTATAATTTGGCATAGACGTCAGAAGTGGTGAAAATAGCGATCTGATATGGGTCCCGTACATAGGTGCGTGAAAATGGCTCAATAGCACTCCCTAACAATATTCAAAACAAAAGCCCCCTCCTTTCTCTTTGGCCTACATTCACCAAATTTGGTAGGTATATGTATCATGCCCAGACTTAAAAATAAGCCTCTTGGACCAATAACCTAAACAAAACAGGAAGTCAGCCACGTTGAATTGAATAAGTAAGCGTCATGCCAAGTTGCTGAGGGGCCGTGAACGCAAAGGAACCAAGCAGCTAGAGTGGGCCGTTGCAGAACCATACTGGCTGAGAAAACCAACAAAGCAGTAAGGCAAATTACCTCTACATTCTCCGGTCAAGTTGAGTCTCTTTAGCCCTGAAACTCCTAGCCCAACTGAACTTAGTTATCATTATATAACTTCCATTCATCCCTTATTCCTTTAGAATCATATTTCTCTCCACAACAGCAAACTGAATTCACATTAAACCCAGTAACGTTACTTCTGCAGAGTCCTGTTTTTTTCAGCCAAGAATTGCTACGGTTGCACTTTCACACAGCTGAAGAATAAATCCCGTTTTATATCTGTGCTACAATCCGAAAGAGACTTGCGCCAATAACAAGAAAACTGCACGTTAGTCTTTGTAGTCATAATACAGCTGTCATGACCCCCCGGTCTTGACCCTCGCCTCCTTTTTGATATGTGTGAATGTAGCTTTGTTGCGTTTTTTTGCCCTTTTGTTATGTCTGCTGTATGCTTGGTGTGTTTTTCTTTGGTGTCTGTCTCCGTGTTCTGCTTTCCCTCTCATGCTCTGGATCCGCTGGTGGGTGTGGTCGCTGGTACTCCTGCCTGCTATCCGGGGGTCATCAAACCAATCAAGCGCACCTGTTCCACATCCTGCAATCAACTCACCCATAAAAGCCAGACCAACCTTCCAGTCCCCACTTGATCACTCAATACGAGCACACGTCAGCCAACTTGAACTTGCACTCAGTATCTTGTATGACTATTTGAGATATCTGTTGCTAAGTCGTTTTTTCCTATCTGCCCAGAGCCCAGACTCAGTTCTACTTACCTGCACCACTAGACCCAGAGCACAGGAACTAGGACAACCCAAACTCCCTGGCGAGTCGGAACCATCAACCACCCTCTTGTTTGCACCTTTTTTGAATAAATTCACTGTTGTTTGAACATCTACTCTGGTCTGTGTTTGAGTTCTGGTCCCCGGTCCTTACAACAGTGAATTATATTTGGACTAGCAAAGGAAACATTACAACACCACGAGGGGAAAAACATTCCACAGCACTGTGGGAGCATTTCATTGAGCATTAGAGGGAGCGTAACATGGAAGTTGGAAAATGAAGACCTGTTTAAAACTTAGATTTTGAAATTTTAGACTTTTTCTTAGACTTTTTAATACCGTTGAAACCCTGTATTGAACATACTGCCATCTGTTACTAGTTACTGTTACACAAGTTCTTACACAATAACTAGTTATTACACAATAATTCTAACATTAATTAAAACCAAACAAATGTCCAAAATTTTGTGGTAATTCAGACTGTACTCCCCAAAAATATGGCCATATTGGTCATTTGTGCAAGCAGCTTATTACAACCAATATTCACTTTTATTGTTAGGTGGCATCCTCTAGCAGCTCTAGTAATTATGACGGCAGCAAAGGAAGAAATCAGGTGACGTTGTAAAAAGAGGGACAAAGTCTGTGTGATGAGTGTGCTGGGACAGTTGGACAGACGGCTGTTTGTGTCCCATGTGGAACCAATAGTCAACATTGCCTTTAACGTACGTTAATATCATACAACTTACTTTCGTAACCATGACAATGAAGGTCCAGTTCACCTGTCCCTCTCCTAGGGTCAAGTATGTTGTTTTGGGAGTCATTGGTCCAACCTCTTCTGCCGTTTTGTTATGAGGACGCAGTGTTTATGACAAAAGGGTCAATGTGTCCGTCTAGGTCTGACCATGAGCTAAAATTACATTGTACTCTTTATGTAGACTAGGTGTATAGATAGAATGTGCCTGAATTATATTTAGTAAACTTTTAGTAATTGCAAACATCAGCTATTAATTGCAGCCAATAATAAATAGTTTATTTTTAGCAATTCTATCACTTATTAATCTCAGCAAATGTTTGACTTTCTGTCCATGTTCTTTGCTGTCCTTGCATTAGAAGAAAAATAAATTATAGTTACAACATCAGTCCCACCATTCTAACAGTCTGTCTGGCTGCTTTACAGAGACATCAATGATATCAGCATGTTGTTGATGAACCCGCAACTCTGGTGTGTCTGAGTGTAATGAATAGAAGTGTACCAGAAGATTCTGCCACGTCCTGATCACGTGGACGGAACTGTAATACCTGTGTTGTTGCTGCACATGTTGAGTCAGTAAAGATACACAGAAGTCAAACTCCTGGAGTCAGTTCATTCTTATGACTTTGTGTCAAGTTAGATAAGAAATCTACGGACCTTACACAGAGTAGGTGGATTAAGAGTCAGCTGTGACAGCTGTGGGTCTTACCTGTACATACTATTACAGTGTTGGCCTCAGGGCAGGGCTGGACAGGGTAGAGAACATCCCTCTCCCTTTGGATCTAAGAGACAGAGGGAAGAATCATGAATGTGTTGAACTGCTCTATCAAAATGAAAGTTGAGAGTTGAAAGGCTGTGGCTCAGGAGGTAGAGCGGGTTGGCCGTTAATCGGAAGGTCGGCATCTCAATCCCTGGCTCCCCTTGATTGCATGTCGAAGTGTCCTTGGGCGGCTATTCCGCCAGTGTATGAGTGAGTGTGAATGTTAGTTTCTGTTTGAGCACTTAGGCTCAGTGTATGAATGTGTGTGACTGGTGAATGCAGATAAAAGTACTTTGAGTGGTCGAAAAGACTAGAAAGGCGCTATACAAATACGGAGCATTTACATAGGAAGTTGGTCATTTAATGGAAATTTTTTAACCATTTCCTCCTAGATAATTAATCGACTTCAAATTTTTTGTAGTGCAGTTTAAACCCATTGCCAATTAAAAGTTGAACAAACGGTGAGTTTTCGTCAAACGTCGTGCCAGGAAGTTGTTGTAACTTCAGTCTACGTGCTCACATCTGCACCTGACTTTACATGTTTGATAAGAGTCCCGCCCTGAAAACATCTACAAGCCAATATTCACTCACTAGTCACAGCGCCACCTACTGGCAACAGGAAGTGACTACGTTTATGTTGTGATGAACCACTTCTTGCAGGTTGGCTAGATCTACTTTAAAACTATCTCAGAAAACACAAATTGATAATGTCATTCTGTAAAGCGTGTGAGTTTTCCTTTAATGGCGTATCTGTGGAGTAGTGGCGAAGTCCCATGCTTCGCCGTGAAACAGGAAGTCGTTGTAACTTTACAACACTGTACATGCTCAAATCTGTACCAAACTTTACGTGTGTGATAACTGTCCCGTCCCGAACACATCTACACGCCAATATTCATTTATAGTGGTAGCGCCACCTACGCTGGGAGACACAGCATGTGATTTAAATAAAATTTTCACGAGGTGTTCCACACTTGATGTACTGAGAAATAACATATAGTTACCAGATGCTCTCTAGCGCCACATAGCTGACACACATGTGTGACTTTCTACAGAGCAATAGTTTATTTGAGGATTTTCAGTCAGGATTTAGAGTTCATCATAGCACAGATGGTGAAAATTGACCTCCTCATTGCATCAGACAAAGGACTTGGCTCTGTACTGGTTTTATTAGATCTTAGTGCTGCATTTGATACCATTGACCATCAGATCCTATTGCAGAGACTGGAACATTTCATTGGCATTAAAGGAACCGCTCTAAGCTGGTTTAAGTTCTACTTATCAGATCGATTTCAGTTTGTACATTTTAACGATGAGTCCTCCATGCACGCCAAAGTTACTCATGGAGTTCCTCAAGGATCTGTCCTCGGACCAATCCTCTTCACTTTATATATGCTTCCTTTAGGCAATATTATCAGGAAATATTCCATAAGCTTTCATTGTTATGCAGATCATACTCAGTTATATCTATCGATCAAGCCAGATGAAACTCATCAGTTAGCTTAACTTCAAATGTGCCTTCAGGATGTTAAAACCTGGATGACCTGTAATTTTCTAATGGATAAAACTGAAGTTATTGCTCTGGGGCCTAAGCACCTCCCTGACGCATTATCTAAAGATATAGTTTCCCTTGATGGCTTCGCCCTGGCCTCCAGCACCACTGTGAGGAATCTTGGAGTTATCTTTGATCAGGACATGTCGTTTAAGTCTCACATTAAGCAAATTTCAAGGACCGCCTTTTTTCATCTACGTAATATTGCAAAAATCAGGAACATCCTGTCTAAAAATGATGCAAAAATACTAGTCCATGCATTTGTTACTTAGCTTACTACCCCACCAGAGCACTGCGCTCCCAGAATGCAGGGTTACTTGTGGCTCCTAGAGTCTCCAAAAGTAGACTAGGAGCCAGAGCGTTCAGCTATCAAGCTCCTCTCCTGTGGAACCAGGTTCCAGTTTGGGTTCAGGAGGCAGACACCATCTCCACATTTAAGAGTAGGCTTAAGACTTTCCTCTTTGATAAAGCTTATAGTTAGGGCTGGCTCAGGTTCAATTCAATTCAATTCAATTTTATTTATATAGCGCCAAATCATAACAACAGTTATCTCACAGCGCTTTTCATAAAAGAGCAGGTCTAGACCGTACTCTGTGATGTTATTTACAGAAGCCCAACAGTTCCCACCAAGAGCAGCACTAGGCGACAGAGGCAAGGAAAAACTTCCTTTTAAGAGGCAGAAACCTCAAGCAGAACCATGGCTCAGGGTGGGCGGCCATCTGCCTCGACCGGGTGGGGTGTGTGTGTGTGTGTGTGTGTGTGTGTGAGTGAGTGAGTGAGTGAGTGAGTGAGTGAGTGAGTGAGTGAGTGAGTGAGAGAGGGGAGGGAGGCAGCCTACACAATATACACACAGAGGTACAGACAGTGAAGGTAATGTTGCTATAGACTAAATGAAAAATGGTACAGATATTTATAATAGTGTTATAGTAACCATCGTAATGTTAATGATTATAATAACAATAATAACAATAAGACTAGCAACAATAGTCGTTGCAGTAGAGGGTGTCGAGCAGGAACACGGGGGCAGCAGGTGACCCGCAGCCACAGATCCAGACTCCACAGCTCCAGAGCCAGAAAACCTGCAGGAAGTGATAGGAGGAGAGAGACGAGAAAGCACAAGACTACCAGAAAGGGGAGAAGTTGTGTTAGTAACATGCAATAATGGGATAAGGTTGCATACAGAGGGAGAGAAAGTAGAGGAGAGAGGAGCTCAGTGCATCATGGGAAATCCCCCGGCAGTCTAGGCCTATAGCAGCATAACTAAGGGATGGTTCAGGACTACCTGAGCCAGCCCTAACTATAAGCTTTATCAAAGAGGAAAGTCTTAAGCCTACTCTTAAATGTGGAGATGGTGTCTGCCTCCTGAACCCAAACTGGAACCTGGTTCCACAGGAGAGGAGCTTGATAGCTGAACGCTCTGGCTCCTAGTCTACTTTTGGAGACTCTAGGAACCACAAGTAACCCTGCATTCTGGGAGCGCAGTGCTCTGAAGTGAGTCCTGAACCATCCCTTAGTTATGCTGCTATAGGCCTAGACTGCCGGGGGATTTCCTATGATGCACTGAGCTCCTCTCTCCTCTACTTTCTCTCCCTCTGTATGCAACCTCATCCCATTAATGCATGTTACTAACACAACTTCTCCCCTTTCCGGTAGTCTTGTGCTTTCTCGTCCTCTCCTCTCCTCCTATCACTTCCTGCAGGTTTTCTGGCTCTGGAGCTGTGGAGTCTGGATCTGTGTTTGCGGGTCACCTGCTGCCCCCGTGTTCCTGCTCGACACCCTCTGCTGCAACAACTATTGTTACTAGTCCTATTGTTATTATTGTTATTATAATCATTAACATTACGATTGTTATCATTAACACTACTATAAATATCTGTACCATTTTTCATTTAGTCTATAGCAACATCACCTTTACTGTCTGTACCTCTGTGTGTATATTGTGTAGGCTGCCTCCCTCCCCTCTCTCTCCTTCCATCCCTCTCTCTTTCTCTCTGTTCCTCTCCTGCTCTCTCTCTCTCCCCTTCACCCCCAACCGGTTGAGGCAGATGACCGCCCACCATGAGCCATGGTTCTTCTCGAGGTTTTTCCTTGACTCTGTCGCCTACTGCTGCTCTTGGTGGGAACTGTTGGGCTTCTGTAAATATCATCACAGAGTATGGTCTAGACCTGCTCTTTTATGAAAAGCGCTGTGAGATAACTGTTGTTGTGATTTGGCGCTATATAAATAAAATTTAATTTAATTTAATTGAACAGTAAGTGACATTTAATTCCTCAGTGCAGTGTTGGAAGTGTGTGACAATTCAGAACCGCAGTGGCATAGCTGCAGAATATATGTTGCGACCGCGTCACGCCACAACGTGCGTCACGATGAGAGGGCCTGCCCAACACTGCTTACAGCTTTAATTTTTACTGTATTTTTCCAAGATATGGTCAAACGTTGTTCCTGGGGCACTTGTAATAATTACAGCCGCTACCCAGAGAGGTTAAAGGAGAAGTACGATTTGTTCACATTCCAAAACCTAAAACAAATCCAGAAAAATGTAAGCTGTGGATTGTTCTTAATGTAATGTTTGTTAGCTAACGCTACATAACTTCACTTAACTTAACTGAATTAAACATTATAAAGCCCTACTGCTTTTGCTTTTTAATGATTGTAATAGTGAATAGAGACCTACCTAGCTGTACAGGAAGTGTTAATCCTTCATATCATTGTATCAATATCATTGTCCTTCGTCTCAAACATCAGGTGATTCGGTGGTTATTTAATTTTTCTAAAAATTAGACAATATTTCTCCAGGGAGTGCAGTTATAGACAGTAGCAGCGACGTGATAAATCCCACAGATCTGACAGTTTGGCGGACTTAGCAAAAGTAACTAAGGGGGGCGTGGCTTAGTGAAGGGTCAATTAAAACACATCCTTAGTCAGGTGAGAGTTCTCCATCACCCAGCACACATTTCTTAGCTGTGCACTTCAGGGCAGCATCGGGGGCCAATTTGATCTAACTACAGATATACTGATATCTAGAGATGTATTTGTGTTCATAATACAGGCATGCACATATGATAGACTACTCACTTCATGTTTATAGTTCAATACAGGTTATCATTTACATATTTGTTACCTAGAAAAACTGATACTGTTTTGAAGGCAAGGGGTGGTCTTGTTCTTGTAGTTTAACAGTAGCCTTGATCTGCATCCTATGCAGACTTGATTGGTTAGTTTGGCGTTAATGTTGGATATTAAAATCTTGACATGCGTCTGAAGCATTTTAAAGTCACCCTGCTGGTCTGCTGTGTAACTCCTGTAGGCCGAGCCATTATGGTGACTTCATATTCACTTGTGTGACTGTAAATCACTGATGCCAATGACTCCTTTGTCCCCTCATCCACTGTCTCAATGGATCTTTTGTCCTGGCTCCATGTTGCCTGCTCTGTCTATTACCAACATCCTGCAGAAAAGAGAGGTCTGAACA